TTGGGTTGGGTGGCATATGGTCCGACTAAGCTTGCGTCAACGTCAAGTCTGCGAGTACTCCACATGCAAGAATGGCACCATCTGCACCAACTAGTCTCGGACTACATGACCACGGACAAATTCGGTTTTAATCCTGCATCAGTCAAGCTTGAGTCTGATACCGATAAGCAGGCCAAATCAATATTAGAGGCAACAACGCGATAAATAGGTAAGCGTTACGAAACTGGTCTTCTTTGGAAAATGTTTCCACCACAACTTCCGAGTAGCAGAGAATTGGCGGAACGGCGCTTTCTGTAGGTAGAAAGGCGCATGCATCAAGACGCAAAATTTTCTCTACGTTACAATCAAGAAATGTCGAAATACGTGACGAAAGGGTACGCCAGGAAGCTAACCAGCCGGGAAATCAGCGCACCATATGCACAAGCCTGGTATCTACCTCATTTTGCTGTCTTTAACCCAAGCAATCCCAGCAAACATCGCATCGTCTTCGATGCCGCAGCTACAGTGAATAAGGTTTCACTAAACTCAGTCTTGTGAAAGGGCCCCGAACAGGCACAGCCGCTCATACGCATACTATTGCAATTCCGCCAGGGCGAAATTGGCGTAGCAGCGGATATAAGGGAGATGTTTTCGCAGGTTAAAGTACGACCGATGGACCAACATGCTCAGCGATATTTGTGGAGGGATGGAGACTCCAATTAACCGATCGAAGAATATATGATGACGTCGATGATCTTCGGTGCAGTTTGTTCACCTTGCATCGCAGAGCATGTTAAAAACAAAAACGCAGAAAGGTTCAGAATTCAGTTTCCTGAAGCAGCCTCCATTGTTATCAACAAGCACTATGTCGATGACCTGGTGACTAGTTTTCACACGCCGGAGCACGCAATCAAAATTTGCAAACAGATAGTTGCCATCAATTCGGAAGCCGGATTCGAATTGCGGAACTTCATCTCTAATTGCGGCTACATAGAGAAAGCCATGAACAAAACGCCTGCAACGACAAGGGAAGTAATTAATATGGAACGCAACCAAACGGCTGATAAAGTACTTGGTATGTACTGGAATACCAGAGACGATACTTTCGAGTTCCATACGAAATTTCATCGCGTACCACAGCCAGTGCTAGAGGGAATTCGCGCTCCGACAAAAAGAGAACTACTGGGCATAGTGATGCCAGTCTTTGATCCATTTGGGCTACTAGCGAACTTTTTGATAACTACGAAAATCATCATACAAGACACTTGGAGACTAGGCATTGGATGGGACGAGAAGTTAGATGCTGAATTGGCTGCAAGATGGTCCCGCTGGTGGAAGGAGTTCCCGAATATCAAAGAGTTTCAAGTACCGAGATACTACTCACCCAGTATTTCGCACAGCAGCAGAATTGAGCTGCATATTTTCGCCGATGCCAGCCAGGAAGCCTTTGCAGCGGTAGGCTATTTCCGAGTGGTGTATGACAGTTCAGTTGACGTAAGGTTCGTCATGGGTAAAACACGCACCGCGCCGAAGAGGCTTCTGTCTATACCACGACTTGAACTGCAAGCCGCAGTTCTAGGGACAAGGCTAAGTAAAATGCTTGTCAACAATCACGAATTTAAAATAAGTCGCGTTTTGTTTTGTAGCGACTCACAAACGGTCTTACAATGGGTCCACTCTTCAGAGAGAAAATACAAACCCTTCGTGGGCCATCGAATCTCTGAGATTGTAAGTGCAACTTCCCGTGAGCAGTGGCGTTGGGTACCCACAAACATCAACCCTGCAGATGCCGCTACGCGGCCGCAAAACCCACCTAGGTAAAGACTGCCACTGGATAAAAGGCCCAGACTTCCTGAAGAACGATGAAGAGCATTGGCCGTCCACCACTATCGAACGTTCCAGCGGACTTGTGGAAGAAGTTGAAACGAGTCGTATACTATATTGTCAGGCAAGTAAAACTCTAATAGATTTTACTAAATTTAACTCATATTTAAAGCTGAAACGTACTGTCGCCTGGGTCATACGAGCCCAAATGTTATTTCGGAGGAAATCGGTGCCCGTTGACGTACATCTGTCGAGGACCTTAACTGCTGCTGAAATCGACCAGGCAGAGCGTATAGTGAGCAAACAGGTACAGCAAGAGTGCTTCGCAAGCGAGATCGCACAGCTTTCCTCATCACGCAAGTTACCTCGGCAAAGTGTTGTGTATAGCCTTACACCCTATCTAGACGAGGACGGCCTCTTGCGACTGAACGGTCGCATTGACGAGGCAACGTGCCTACCATTCGACGTTCGCAGACCGATTCTGTTGCCGTCAAATCATGTTGTCGCAGCACTGATCGTCCAACACTACCACGAACAGAACCACCACCAGAATACGGCAGTCACAATCAACGCCGTAAGACAGAGATTCTGGATTCCGCACATAAAGACACTGCTAAAAAAGATACAACGAAACTGTTTACAATGCAAAATAAATAAAGCCAGCCCCGTCGCGCCAATGGTGGGACAACTTCCACCTGATCGCTTAACCCCGTATGTCCGCCCATTTTCGTATACTGGCGTTGACTTATTTGGACCGTTTAATGTTACAGTAGGGCGACGAAGGGAGAAAAGGTGGGGTGTCATCTTCACCTGCTTGACCGTGAGGGCAGCGCACATTGAGTTAGCTGAACACCTCTCAACGGATGCGTTCATTCTGTGCCTATGGAATTTTATAAATCGGCGCGGCACCCCCGTGAGAATCAGGAGTGATAACGGCACGAATTTCATCGGTGCCCAAAAGGATTTGAAAAACGCTGAACAACTATTCGACACCGACCGCATACAAGCAGAGGCCGCAAATAAGTATATAGAGTGGAAATTTAATTGGCCGTCCAACCCCAGCGCTGGTGGCTGTTGAGAGCGGCTGATTAGAATTGTGAAGTCCTTGCTGAGTCATACGCTGCGTGAAGTGGCGCCGAGAGTCGACACCCTACAGTCTGTACTCATTGAAGCTGAGAATATTATAAACTCCCGCCCGCTAACGGACTTGCCCTTGTCACACGAAGACGATGAGCCACTCACACCGAACCACTTTCTGATCGGGTGCGTTAACTCAACTCAAACACCGAATCCGGTCGATGAGAAAATATGTCTGAGGAAGCAGTGGCGAATAGCGCAGAATCTCAAAGATCGCTTGTGGAAACGGTGGACCACGGAATATTTGCCTCAACTCATTTGTCGCAGCAAGTGGAGGGAGAAAGCGTTCCCGCTGCAACTCAACGACTTAGTTCTAATATGTGAGCCATCTCTACCACGCAGTCACTGGCAGAAGGGTCGTGTCACGAAGGTCTTCCCCACAAACGACGGCCAAGTTCGCGTAGCAGACGTGAAGACAAGCAGCGGACTTTTACGTCGTCCTGCCACACGCCTAGCTCGGCTAATCGTAGAAGGTGAATCTCGGGAAGATTCACGGGGGGAGGAGTGTTGGGCACCCTGTCATTAAACCGGTTCACAATAGCCAACCTTGACAGCTAAGCGGCCATCATTGATTTTTTGACATATGTAGATACTTACGAAAATTTGGTCCTTTTTATTCAGCGCGTTAAGAAAAGCAGACGTACCAGAAAAATACAATTTTCAAACCAACGAAACAACTAACCAACAAATATCGAGCAAATTGTATCAGCAAACGATTTCTTGTCTCTCAATAAATCTTATACAATTAAAACCAGTAAATTGCCTTTTCATCCAATAGTTACACTATTAATGTGACAAAGGTGATATGGCCTCCATATAAAGACAGCATATTCTAACCTAGATCGTACAAGCGAGGTAAAAAGTAACTTTAGAGTGTAAGGATCAGTATAGTCTGAACCGAAGCGCCGAATAAAGGCAAGTGTAGAATATGACTTAGAAATTATATAATTTAAATTACTCAGAAATAGGAATTTTGAGTCAAAAATTACGCCCAGATCAGAAACTTCATCCAAGGTGGTGAGACGCGATTCCTTAATTAAATGTGAAGTAGCAAATAACTGCCTGGACTTGGAAAACGTTATGTGAGAACAATTCCTAATATTTAGCTGAAAGTGATTTTTATCACACCATGCCACGACGTTATTGAGATCTGACTGTAGCTTAGCTGAATCAGATCGACTTAAAATTGTTTTAAAAATTTTTAAATCGTCTGCATATAAAATAAATTCAGAAAATTTAAAACAAACAGATATATCATTAATAAAAATGATGAAGAGTAATGGACCCAGAATACTGCCCTATGGGACACCAGAAGAGGCAACAAAAGGATGGCAAGAAACATTATTAACAACAACTACACATTTACGACATGAAAGGTACGACTTTATCCATTTTAAAACAAGTAAGAAAGTCTAAGTTCGGGTGGAGCCGAACATTAAATACCCGGCGCAAGTATTAAATATATGTTTTTTCACCTTTCCGAAAGCTACCGCTAGATGGTAAGCCGGGGTGTATCGAATTTGAGTAAATTAGCGTCCTTAAATTTCGAAATATTGCAGTTTCAAGCATTTCTAAAATTTACCGTTATATGAAAAGCGGCCGTAATTTTAGTCCGATTTCAATAATTTTCAACGTTTTGCTTCTATGTGGCAAGCACAATAAAAATACCGTGTTTGGTACAAATTGATAGAACGGTTACCGATATACATATATGTGATCATAAGTGGGCGGTGCCACGCCCATTTTCCAAAATTTTACCATAAGCGCATTTCCTGGTAAAGAATTGTTGCAAGCATTAATTTTGAATAAATTAGCTTTAATATTTACTGATTTATCGAAGATTTTGTATTTCTCTAAATTACCGTTATATGGGATGTGGGCGTCGGACAATAACCTGTCGGATTTTTAAAATTTTTCGGCCATTTAGTATGCTGTACCAAAACCAACAACTGTGCCAAATTTGGAAGAAATTGGTGCAGCGGTTACCAAGATATACACATGTAACCATAAGTGGGCGTGGCTACGCCCATTTTCCAAAAATTTATAATATTCTTATTTTTTGTCTGAAAATTATTGTAAATATCAATTTTGAGTGAATTATCTTCAGTAGTTACTAAAATATCGCAGTTTTCGTATTTCTGGAAATTACCGTTATATGGGAAGTGGGCGTGGTTACAGTCCGATTTCACCCATTTTCAATACCAACCTACCTTGGATTAACGGAAACCTACATACAAAATTTCGTTGAGATATCTCAACGAAATGCTCGAGTTATCGTGTACACGGACGAACGGACAGACGGACGGACAGACAGACATGGCTTAATCGATTTCTTTTTTCATCCTGATCATTTATGTATACATTTGTCTATATCTATCTCGATTCGTTTTGGCTGTTACAAACAACCGTTATGTGAACAAAATTAATATACAATTGTGCACAAGTGCGCTCGGGTATAAAAAAGTCAGCGAAAAGATCGGCTGCCTCCTGGGTGGAGGAAGCATAACTCCCATTGTAAAATACCTCGGAGGGAATATTAGAGCAGGAATTTTTGGACTTAACGTAACGCCAGAAAGCTTTTGGATTACACTTAATATCAGACTCAAATTTACGAATATAATTACGCTGTAGAATTTTGATTAAATGTTTGAACTTCTTGGAGTAGTGCAAATATTTATCCCTATACGCTTGGGCACTTGTTAATTTATTCCTCAAATTCTTTAGCCTTTTTAATTTTCTCGTATACCAAGGAACCCTATAGCACTTCTTGCTAACACGTGGTACGTTTTCGCAGAAGATTTCATACATCTTTGTTTTAACTTTGTCAAAGCATGAAGAAATATTAATTCCAGTAAAAAGGGAATCCCAATCTAATAGAGAAATTTCGTTATCTACAATATTAAAATTACAACGTTTAAAGCAGAAGTTATTACTTTGATTACTAACACAAAGACTTTTAAAACTGTAAAATTCTAGACAAATAGTGAGCGGTATGTGATGATTACAAGAACTTGATAAAGGATCAAGCCATTCATGAAGTGTGAAATACATGTTATCACTTATGAAGATAAGATCCAGAATTCGACAGAACTTTTTTAATAAACGGTTGATTTGAATAAAATCTAAACTTAACAAGTAAGAAAGCCTAAGTTCGGGCGGAGCCGAACATTAAATACCCGGCGCAAGTATTAAATATATGTTTTCCACCTTTCCGAAAGCTACCGCTACATGATAAGCCGGGGTATATACATTTTAAGTAAATTAGCGTCCTTAAATTTCGAAATATTGAAATTTCAAGCATATCTGAAATTTACCGTTATATGAAAAGCGGCCTCAATTTTAGTCCGATTTCAACAATTTTCAACGGTTTGCTTTTATGTGGCAAGCCCAATAACCATACCGAGCTTGGTACAAATTGCTAGAACGGTTAGCGAGATATTCTTGGTAAAGAATTGTTGCAATCATCAATTTTGAATAAATTAGCTTCAATATTTACTGATTTATCGAAGATTTTGTATTTCTCGAAATTACCGTTATATGGGATGTGGGCGTGGTTATTGTCCGATTTTAGAAATTTTCGGCCAGTTGGTATGCTGTACCAGGACCAACAACTGTGCCAAGTTTGGAAGAAAGTGGTGTAGCGGTTACCAAGATATACACATGTAACCATAAGTGGGCGTGGCTACGCCCGTTTGCCAAAATTTTGTAATACTCTTATTTTTCGTCTAAAACTCATTGCAAATATCAATTTTGAGTGAATTATCTTCAGTAGTTACTAAAATATCGCAGTTTTCGTTTTTCTGAAAATTACCTCAATTATCTCAATTTTTACTCGAGTTATCGTGTGCACAGACGGACGGACGGACGGACGGACGGACGGACGGACGGACAGACAGTCACCGCTTAATCGATTTCTCTTTTCATTCTGATCATTTATGTATACTTTTGTCTATATGAGAATGGAATCAGTTACGGTTTTGGTTGTGCTGCACCTGCTTTCTGAAAAAACTCAAACGGACGCACATCGCAGAGTTCAGAAGAGACGCGTAGTGTTAAGATTGAACTCCTATCTTGAAATTGACACGTTTTAATGTTCTAACCAGAGATCGAAAATAACCGTCACCAAGTGTCCCGTATGGTGTTTACCACTGACACAAATACTCGTCTCTCAAACAAAGAGTGTTTCTCACCGTGGCAAATCACTCTGTGCGATCTTTTTGTGTTTTCCGTTGTGGGTTATTTATCAACTGTTAAAATTTCCCTTGGGCAAAAACAATTTGGCAGGGACTTTTATTTTTAAGTATCTTAATTTGGGGGCTATTGTGGGACTGAAAAATATAAGTGGGCGTAATGGGGGGAAGCAAAGCGCTAGGCATTTCTTTACATGACATATACGTACACATGTGCGAACATTTATGCCAAAGAAGAGAGCGTGCACATTCTTAATATGATACACCGAAAATAAGCTATTTTATTTTATTGATAAAGAAAAGGATAGAGGCAAAGGTAAAAATAAAAACAAAAACAAAGATACATAAAGATAAATGCAAAAATGAAGACCAAGGTAAATTTAAAAATTTTACTAATATAAGGGCAAAGGTGAAGGGGAATATGTAATGTAGAAATTGATAAACATAAAGATGATAAAGATAAATATGAAGAAAAGATGAGGATGTGTAAAGATGAAAATAAAGGAGGAAAGATTAAAATAAAGGTAATTATAAAGAAAATGATATAGAGTCACAGAGACTGAACTTGGGAACTATTTCGGGATTTTCGGTATTTTCGGGACTTATCGATATAATGATCGATATTTTTATCGATTTTGTTATCGATATCTTTATCGACATTTTTATCGATTTTATTATCGATATTTTTATCGATTGTTACCGATATTTTTATCGAGTTTGTTATCGATATTTTAACCGATTTCGTTATCGATAATGTTATCGACTTTGTTATCGTTATTGTTATCGAGGTTTGTTATCGATTTGGGTTTCGATTTTGTTATCGATATTTTTATCGATTTTGTTATCGATCTGAGTATAGATTTGGGTATCGAGTTTGTTATCGATTTGGGTATCAATTTTGTTATCGATGTTTTTATCGATTTTGTTATCGATATTTTTATCGATATTGTTATCGATTTTGGTATCGATGATGTCACATCATTTGGCATGACATGAAAGCTTCACATTACATCACATGAAATCTTATCACATTGCATTGCATTACCTGACATCACATAACATAACACCTTATCACGTCATCGCACCTCGCATCATCTAGGTGAATATGTAGGTGAAGAAAAGGATACAACAAAGATATAAAAGATAAAAACAAAGAAGAAGACCAAAGTAAATTTAAACACTTTTCTTTTTAAGACGAATAGAGTATAACGTTAAAAAAGAAGATAAAGATAAAGGAAAACAGAATAACATAAACAGAATAAATCTATATTGAAACAAGTAAG